GAACCACTCATATACCCCTTATACACCCTATACAACCCAAGCGCCCATACGTTAGAACCCTTTAGAGAAGGTAAGCGACCAGACTAAGGGACCATGTAACTACCTAAAGACAACCCAATCAGCAGAAACCCTCAGGTCTGAAGGCCTAAAGCCCTGTGATTTTGGGGATTTGGGGCATGATCCCAAGAAGAGATCCATGACAGCTGGCAGTTGCTCATGGCGAATCCAGAAACCCCTGTGGGAACCAACCCTAAACCCTACACCCCAAACCCTGGAGCCGGGTGGGGGGGATTCGGAGGGGAAGAGGGTTCCCGCTGAGTCTCCAGGGCATACGACCAGCTGCACATGTTTTTTGTAGTAGAGGGTGCGGGGTCAAACTTCGTGTACAAGAGCACGTAAGAAGCAACTTGGATTCGGGGTTTATACTTGGGACTCTTTCTACCTACAGTTTCATGGGTTCTACCCCCTCATTCAGCCGTAGTTGCTACTAAACTAAACTGTAGGTAAACAGAGTCCCCGGTAGTTAAAACTGAGGCTGCCAGATGCTGGGCTTCCTGTTTTGGGCGGTGGCGCTGTTAGCCTTCGAATTCAAACACCTCTTGTGAGGTGCATGGCCCGCCTTACTGTGAAGGCGTGTCTCCATTCTACCCAAATCGCGCGCCAAAACCGGCGGCGATCCGAAGAACGGAAAAAGGAGGTCTCGCACGGAAATCATCCCTGGGGTTTAAAGGGAAGCTGGTGACAGAAAGCGAATAGTAAACCCTAAACCCTGAACCCTGAACCCTGAACCCTAAACCCTAAACCCTAAACTCTAAACCCTAAACCCTAACCCTAAACCCTAAACCCTATAACCTCCCTCAACGCTAAACTAAAAGCTCCGAACCCCTCCAGACTCCCAGCTGAAGATACCGAAGCCCTGGAAAGCCACCGCAAAGTGTGTTTCGATATCGCCGAACTGTTTGGGTTTAGGGGGTTTAGGGTTTAGGGTTTAGGATTTAGGGTTTTAGGGTTTAGGGTTTAGGGTTCAGGGTTTAGGGTTCAGGGTTTAGGAGTAGAGGGGCTTATTTGGGGTTTTACAGCTTAGTACTTCCCTCACACTACATCACCATCATTGTTCTGACCGATTGACTGAAGATCAACTGCCTACATCCCTGTGCGAGATTGCAAATGCCTGCTCCGGCTATCCTAGAAATATCCATGGCGCCAGCACTGCACTGGACTCAAAATGGAGCTCATGTGCAGGCCAGGGCCATATAAAGGTCGGCACGGACGTTTTGAGCAACCCTAAACCCTAAACCCTAAACCCTAAACCCTAAACCCTGAACCCTAAACCCTAAACCCTAAAGACAGTGATGGAAACATCCGAGGTGGAGGCGAGTATGAGGAGGTTGGGGGCAGTTCTCATCTCAAGTTTCAAGGCTGCGACCTGCCCAAAACTGGAAAAAACACGGCCCAAATGGCCCCAAACCCCAACGCCTGAACCCAAAAAACCCCTTAAAAAAAAAAAAAAAACAAAAACAAACAAAAAACTTATTCGTGAACCCACACTTCAGGTAGGTACTCAAGCTGGGAGCCAGTTTGGGCCTTAAACCTTGTAGCCCCTCGAGCTCGAAAACTGAGTAATGATCTTAGGCTAGAAATGGTAAAGGGTGCCCTTTCTTGGGTTTAGGGTTTAGGGTTTAGGGTTTAGGGTTTAGGGTTTAGGGTTTAGGGTTTAGGGTTTAGGGTTTAGGGTTTAGGGTTTAGGGTTTAGGCTTTAGGGTTTAGGGTTTAGGGTTTAGGGTTTAGGGTTTAGGGTTTAGGGTTTAGGAGAAGCCCTAGGGGGTCTGCTCCACTGCTGTTTCCTGAGCTTGCCAGCCCGAACCCACTGACTCCATGATTTGGGTGTTTAGTGTTTGGTAGTTAGGTTTCAGGGTTTTAGGGGTTAGGGGTGATAAGGGCTCTGTACTTGGGGGATCGAGGATTTTCGTGGGGGGGGGGGGGGGGGGGGGTTAAGGGCAAACTTTGGTTTCAACCTCAGGTGCTTCGTTTTGAGGGGATTTCGAGCTTATAGAGGATTTGGGGTTCTGAACCTTTTAGGCCGTAACCCCTGAAGGCCCCAGTACGTAGGGTTGACGTCCGATGCCGCCTACCATAGGAGGCGCAGGCACTAACTTGAATTTGTGCCCTATCAGGCAGGTTGCATACCGCATCCTTGTGTGCCGCTTGGAGCGGCAAGCTCGGACCCGGGAACTTTACAGCCAGGGTTTAGGGGTTAGGGTTTAGGGTTTAGGAGCACAGGTGCACATGACCTTTGAATTGCAACATGAGGGTCAACTTGCTCATCTGTGTGTATATGGTATGCCTTGGAAGCCTTTGTAAGCAAGAAGCATATTCGAATGACATGCCGCAGCGCATTGTAAGCAACTGTACATTACTTTACATGGCAGGAGATAGAATGTGTGTTGGGATCTAGTCCACGCTTGCTGGGCAAAAGCGGTCCCCCGAACCCTTATGTAAACCCGAAGCCCGTTGTTACCTCCTTGAAGTTTAGGAATTGTAGGAGTTAGGTCGCCTAAACACACCCAAGCACAAGACACCCTAAACCCAAAACACTAAAAGAACATGCATGTTTTAAGCCTTAGGTCCGAAACGTCCTAAACCCCAAACCCTATACCCTACCCAAAAACGCGGAGAGGGACTTGCGGGTTGCGGTTGCGGGGTTGAGGGAGTTTGGGAGTTTAGGGCTTGAGGGTTTAAGGTCCATGGTAAGTAGGTTTTAGGGTTTAGGGCTTGGGGTTTAGGGCTTAGGGTTTAGGGTTTGGGGTTTAGGGTTTAGGGTTTGGGGTTTAGGGTTTCGGGTTTAAAAAGGTGTTACTGTTGCAAAGGTCCCAAGCTAGCACCAGCACACCCTATGTCCGGCTTCTCTGCCGAATGCTCCGAGCCCTTAATGGGGTCTGGGTGTAGGGTTTAGGGTTTAGGGTTTAGGGTTTAGGGTTTCGGGTTTAGGTAACAGGACTTAGGCATCAGGCCATATGACCTGAACGAAACCTGTTGAGAGCTGCAGCACCAACGCGGCAATGAATGGCGGCGGTCACTACACAAATCTTGCTATACTTCAACGCTTGTGTGCCCGCAGCTTGGGCCTTCTATCAGCAGCCCCTGCAACTTCTGAAACTGGAAAAAAATCTACCCAAAATTGGTCTAGCGTTTAGCGTTTGGGTTTAGGTTTAGGGTATAGGGTTCAGAGTTTAGGATTTAGGGTTTCGGGTGAAAAAGGAATCACATGTGGCGGCGTAAGTAAACCCCCCCCCCCCACCAAAAGAAAGAACTGTGCTCACCCTACACCCCAAACCCTACTATTTGCTTAAGAACCCCCCCCCCCCCAAAAAAAAAAAAAAAAAACAAAAACTATTTTCCTTTTAAGGCCCATATAGGGAATATCAATATCCATATATATATATATATTTTTTTTAAAATTTGTTTAGATATTTATTTCTTCATAGCGGGGGGGGCGGGTTCTTAAGAAAATAGTAGAACCCTAAGAAAGTTCTCAATCGGAAAGGAAAGCCCAGCCGCTGGAAGTCCGAAAAACAATCTGCTGACCGCCCGCGCGTCAGAGGGCGGCCTCTCCCAGTCGGTATGGACGCGGGGTGTGCGGTTTAGGGTTTAGGGTTTAGGGTTTAGGATTTAGGGTTTAGGGTTTAGGGAATTACCTACTGTTCTATGGGCTAATCCTACTAATGGCGGGGTAGCTACTACTAAACTGTAGGTAACTAGACTCCCAGGTAGGGCTTGGGGTGCTTGAGGTGTTGAGGGTTCAGGGCTTTTGGGTGTAGGCCTAGGGTTTTTAAATTTGGGGTTAGTAACTATTAGGGTGTTTGGGTGCTGCCTGGGCTTCAGGGGGCGGTGGGGGGGGGGGGGGGGGGGGTGGGGGATGATTTTTTCTGTGTATTATTTTATTTTTAGTTTTTTTGTCTTGTTGGGGTGGGAGGGGGGGTTGTGCTTTCTAACTGGCGAACTTTCTGGGAGTTGGGTGCATTTCGGGGTTTTGTGGAGATTTGCTAGCACTGCGAGGATCCAGGTATGACGCCCCCAAACCCTGAATCTACACCCCACGCCGCATCCCTCCAATTTCTGCCTTGAGACCCCAAACCCCTAAACCTAAACCCTAAGCCCCAAACACAACGAATTCTTGAGGAATGCTCCGATTCAGTCTGGTGGTACCCAGACCCCAATCTGTAGTTCCTGTGTTTTGACCTACTTGTCATGGTTCGAACCGTGCAAGTCAGTAAATTCGGTGACAACCCCCCCGCCCCCCCGCCCCCGCCCATCAAAAAAGGAACTATAACTCAAGGTTCAGGGCTTCTGAAGCTTCGTGCGCCGGAAGGGCTTTCAACTTTAAGACGGTTACGGTTTAAGTGCAAAGCCTAAGAGTTTAGGGTTAGGGTACAAGGTGGGGCGTGAGGGGGTACGTTGGCTTCCGCTTTAGCAGCCCTAGAGAGAGCATGAAGGTGGCACCGGCACGGTGGACTGCAGATCCCTACGCCCTAAACACTAAACCCTAAACCCTAAACCTTGAACCCTGAACCCTGAACCCTAAGCCCTAAACCCTAAAGCGTGACTTTCCGGGCGAAACAGGCACGTTGTCACGTTGCACAGATTTTCGCGCTTGAAGAATTTTTTGTTGCAGACCAAACACAGGGACTTGTGAGTTGCGCGCGTGTGGCAGCTTCATGTTTTCGCTCGTCAAGCCGCTGCGCCCATGCAACCAAGGTTTCCTGCGAAAGCCACCAAATAGTGATTGGATGCTAGGTAAACCCTATTATTTAAAAAAAAACAAATAATAATAAACCCTAAACTTTAGATCCCCAGCGGGCCCGTCGAAGTTCCAGCCCCTCCCCAAACCCTAAACCCTAAACCCTAAACCCTAAACCCTAAACCCTAAACCCTAAACCCAAAACCCTAAACCCAAAACCCTAGACCCTAACCTTCGGGGCGGCCTTGACTTGGTGCTCAAGCTATCTGAGCGAGTGGCCGACCACTTCAATGAGGACCTGGCGGCTTGGCTGCACTCAGGAGGGTAGCTAAAAATTAAACTTTTAGCTGCCTTAATAAGAAACCCAATAAACCCAAAAAAGGTAAGGATCTAAAGTTACAGTAAAGTACCACAAAGGCGGGCTCGGAGTTCTTGGTGAGAGGTTGAACAACATGCAGGGTGCAGATGATGCTAATAGCCAGAATAACAAACATAATCAGAACAAGAATCATCATTCAAACAACACACATCGTAAGCATGTGAAGAATAGTCATTCCAATCACACTAGCTGGTAACAAAACAATGAAACTAGGCGCGACGTACCAGGAATTGCAAACCCTAAGCCCTAAACCCTAAACCCGAAACCCTTAGCCCTGAAAGAAACCGTTACTTGGGGGGGAAGCTGTCCGGTTTCAAGGAGTCCGGGTGGCCTCGAACCGCTTCTGGATGGAATCCACCACCGGCAGCAAGTCCCAATCCTCCAAGTTTCGGGCTTGTTTAGGGTTTAGGGTTAGGGTTGAGGGTTGAGGGTTTAGGGTTTGGTGGGTGAGACCTGGGAGGCTTATAGCGTCTTTGGGGTGTAGGGGTTTGGGGGTTTCGGGCCTCCCAACTTATACCAGCTCAAGGTTTGGGGGCATTTGGAGCTGAAGGGTTCATTTTGATAGGGTCGAGGCCCTAAACCTGTAAACCGGATTCAGAGCTTGAGGACGCCTGGGGAGTCAGGATCGGCTGCATTTATTTTGGGTTGTTAGGGTTCGGGAGGTGTTTCGGGTTGATTGTCAAGCAATCACGCAACTCTTTAGGTCGATAGGTTGGGGAGTCCCTTGCTCAGGGACATCAACCAGGACATTGAACTCAAGACTCAAAACCCGGCAGGAAACACACACCCTCCCCCCCCCCCACACACACAACACAAACCTAAACCCTAAACCCTAAACCCTAAACCCTAAACCCTAAATCCTAAACCCTAAACCCTAAATCCTAAACCCTAAACCCTAAACCCTAAACCCTAAACCCTAAACCCTAAACCCTAACCTAGACTAAATCTTCAGAAAAGAACAAGGCCGGGTGCGCGGCATCTCGGGTTCCTTGCAGCGGACAGCACGGCCTTGAGGGGTCTCAGGAATACGAAAGTTACGAAAGGTAGCAGTAGTGGTTTAGGGTTTGGGATTTAGGGTTTGGGATTTAGGGTTTAGGGTTTAGGGTTTCGGATTTAGGGTTTGGGATTTAGGGTTTAGGGCAGTGGTGGTAGTAGTAGTAGGCGTAGTAGAAGTGGAAGTGGAAGTGGAAGTGGAAGTAGAAGTAGAAGAAGAAGTAGTAGTAGTAGTAGTAGTAGTAGTAGTAGTAGTACGCTGGAGGCCATTGATTCGTGCATCGGCCTGCGTTTGCAAGGCAAATAGCTCCAGGGCATCGATTCGCGCATCGGCCTGCATTTGCAAGGCAATTACCTGGCTCACGACGCGCTCCACGCGAAGGAAGCGCTCCTCCCAAGCCTGCACGAAGCCTGGGCGTGGAGCTGTGTCGAAAGCAGATCGATGGCCAGCTGGTCGCCCCAATGCCTCGGCCATGCTCTGTCCGGATGCCAGGAGCTGTCGTGGTGGAGAACTGAGTAGTAGTGGGTACGAATAGGAATAGGAATAGGAATAGGAATAGGAATAGGAATAGGAATAGGAATAGGAATAGTAGGAAGAAGACTAACCTTGATGAACAGAAACCGCTACAGGACCGCAATTCGCAACAAGAGCCTTGCTTTGCAACAAGGACCTTAACTCAGAATAAAGGCCCCAATGCGGAACGAGGACCGTGATTCATAAGGAGGAGCTTAGGGTTTAGGGTTTAGGGTTTAGGGTTTAGGGTTTAGGGTTTAGGGTTTAGGGTTTAGGGTTTAGGGTTTAGGGTTTAGGGTTTAGGGTTTAGGGTTATAATGAGGACCGTCCCTTCACTAGCGATGAGGACTTTAACTAGAGGAAGGGCCTTAATTCATTCACAAGATGGGCACAGTTCAGGTTAGTGGTAGATTCCTTGAGGCTCTCTGGGTGAAGGATCATACTTGAATACATTGCAGCCCGGCATTTTTGAGGCATCTCGGGAAGGACTCTTGTTTAGAGCCCTAAGCCCGAAACCCTAAACCTGAAATCCTATACCCTACACCCTAAGCTGGCCATGTAGGCTCTTCATGTGCATGTCCTGGAGCGCTTCTGCATCCCTGAGTCTATAGCCCTAAGGGCTGGGAAGGATCTTAGGGTAGTTGGTTCCTCAGTACGGGCCCTTGAAAGGGTAGCAAACCCTCAGCTCCAAACCCCAAACGCCAAACCCTAAACCCCGAACCCTAAGCAAGTCTTAGGGAGGCATTCAGGCGGGGCTCGCCCCCCAGAGAAGCCATGAGGCCTCTTATGGCTGATTCACAGGCAAACAAAAGTAAAGGGGCCTGGGCCTAAAGGCATTAAGAACACTCAGGATGCCCATATATGGGGGGGGGGGAGTTCCCAAAAGTAGGTGCCTAATTTGCTTAGGTTATATATCTATTAGTTTTGTTTTTGTTTTTATTTGTTTTCTTTTTTTTTTTTGGGGGGGGGGGGGGGGGGTCCTATACAGTTTTTTTCTTGTCTTTTAAAGTCTGCTTGGGGTATATATTGGGTGTCCTATTTTGGCATTTTCAGGAAAATGCCCAGAAAGGCTAAGGCTTAAGGTCTACTCCTTATCTAAGGGGTATTGGGCTCGCGAGTTACACCCTCCAAACAAACAAACCCCGAAAGCCCCAAGCCTCCACAATAATTTAGGGGCATGAATAATTAGACTAGGTTTTTTTGTGGTTTATTATAGTATAATCAAGAAGGAGCCCTAAGGGAATGCTATCAGAAATTACTCCGACCCCTATAGTACATTCTTGGGGCCGTGGCTGCTCAGTGAACTGGTGCCATAACGGACCTGTGCGAGCGTCGCGTGGGTTAAGGGCTTAAGGCCCCCAAACCCGCTACCCTAAACCCTAAACCCTAAACCCTAAACCCTGAACCCTGAACCCTGAACCCTGAACCCTAAACCCTAAACCCTAAACCCTAAGTCGAGCGAGGGAGCTGGGGTTTAGGGGCTTCGGGCGCGATATAGAGGGAGTATTTCGCTTGCATTGTGGAGTGTAGGAGTGAGGCTTAGAAAGTTGGGGGTCAAGGTAGGGGGTTGAAGAATGTATACATTCCTGGCCAAAAGGCGCAGCTACGCCTACTCGCCAAAACCTAAGCACCATTCCTGAAGCTCAAGATGCTCCTCCCCCACCAACAAAAACAAACATTATGCAGTATGGTCTGCGGAGCATACTAACCCAAAAATCAGGGCCCTTTGTCCTTTTGAGTGTCACGCTTAGCCTCAGTTTAGCCTTAGGATATGGGTAATTCTCTAGACTAGGGTCCCGTTTTGGGTACCCATTGTAAGGCGGCACCCTTCAAAGAGGGCCCCCAAAAAGGGACCCTAACTCAAAGAACTACCAAAAATGAAGGGGAAGGAAAACCCTAAACCCGAAACCCGAACTCCGGGCGCCTGCGGACGTTTCAGCTGGAGTTCCATGTCCGATCACTGCTCGAAACCCGACTTGGCACATGTCGGCAGGCAACCTCGGTGTATATTATACATATAACATACATAACTACATAAATCCCAATACATACACTATGTGGAGAAACAAAAAACAAATACATATACATATACATATAAATATACATATACATATACATATACATATATACATATATACATATATAAATATATATATATATATATCACTGACTGACCCAAGCACTCATACTAAAGAACCTTATAACCCCAACCCCTAAAACGGGCTAGATCGTAGCTTCTGTGGGTCCTGCTGGCTTCGTGGCGTTTCGGGGCTTTTGAGGCTGTAGAATGGAACTTGCGGCCATATCTGGCTATCTGGCTCGAAGCTGCACCCTAAACCCTACGAACGCAGAAATATCGTTTGAGCCCATGCTGGCCCAGTGCTTTAAAGGGTTTAGGGTTCAGGGCTATAGGGTTTAGGGATTAGGGGATAGGGTATAGGGTCTAGGGTTTAGGGTTCCGAGTCTACGGCTTGGGGCTCCAGAGGTTTCCACACATGTCCAGCCCCCCCACCCCACCCCACCCCCCCCAACATCTTTAAAACCTTTTTGAGCCCTAAACCCTAAACCCTACATCCTAAGCCTTAACCCATAAAGCCTAAGAGCCTAAGGGCTAAACCCTAAACCGAAACCCTCCTCTCAGCTGGAAGAGGCGAGGTGGTGGGTCAAGGGCGTCATACTCGGACCGTGAGGATGTCCCCTTTAGGGTTTAGGGTTTAGGGTTCAGGGTTCAGGGTTTAGGGTTTAGGGCTTAGGGAGGAGTAGGGAGCATTCGGGAACCTTGGTTGCATACGCCCCTTGAACCCCGCCTCCCTTAAGACCCCTATGAATGAGTGGGCAACTGTAGCTTTTGAGCCGAGGAGCGATGATGTCTCGCACTTGATGAACCTCAGGTCTCATGGCGCCGGAATGGAGGGTTGCTCTGGGCATTTAGGGCTTAGCAGGGGTTAGGGTTCAGGGTTTAGGGTTCAGGGTTAGGGTTTAGAGCAGAGCTCGACGAGGAGGGTCCGGCGCCCGATTTCAGCCCTAAGAAGAAGAGAACGTCTCCACGCAACATGAGCCCCTGGGCAGGCTGGATCCCTTGTGATTCTTCGGGTAGCTAGATGGTCCCTCAGTATGGGCCCTTAAAAAAAGGAACCCTTGTTATATACCCCTTCATGTACCCTCTGCAACACAAGGGCTCATACTTCGGAACCCAAGGGCTCATACTTCGGAATCCTTAAAAGCAGGGTAAGGGGCCATAATAAGGGACCATGTAACTTAGGCTTGGCAGCCCAGTAGCCCTATTATGATAAGGGCACCCGTTTTGGGTTGGTTGTCTTGATAAGGGAACCTTGAATCCCAAAAAAAAAAGGGAAAAGGGTACCACTGGGCTGATTGCCAAGATCCGAGCCACTTTGCCTACAGTCCTAGAATCTATCAGGTGAACGGGTCCAAACACATACATGATACATACATGATACGGGTGCACCCCCGTTCCTGGAACGCCCTTGACCCCAAGCCGGAAGAAACACCTGACAAGCCGACTAAGGTGCTAAACAAAATAGAATGCATCCCACCAGTCACTGGAAGCAAGTGTTGGCGAGAAGGGTGAAGCTGCAAAGCCTAACCCTGAATTCACGACATCCTCATTAAACCCGCCAACCGAAATCAGGACGTTCAACTTTCCTAGCCCCTCAACCCGAACATCCCATGTCAGCCCAGGTGCAGACGTCCACGACCACCGGCCTTCACGAATCCCCTGCCGCCTGTAGGGGGATCTTGCAAGTAGAGGCTGCTGCACATGACAAACCCCTAAACCTAAACTGAAAATGTTGAATCCAAAGGCCAAAAACTCCCAAACCCCAAGCCCAAACTCCAAATCCTAACAGTTAATCAAAACCCCCAAGCGCTGCAGTTACCTGAAAAAACTTCTACCAAGGAGGCGCCGAAGGGACGAAGAGCAGAAGAACTTCAACCGTAAGAACCCGCGTAGACCATTTCAAACCCGTCAAAGAATTCTAAAACGACTAAGCCCGGCCCGGCCCTAACCCCTAAGTTCACCCCCCTCCCCCCTGAGCAAAAACACACAGAGTATACGGGTCTGAATAATTTGACTAGGTTTTTTTTTGGGGGGGGGGGGGGGGGGGGCGGGGGGGGGGGGGGCGGGGGAGGGGGGGGCGGGGGGGGGGGGGGGGGGGGGGGGCGGGGGGGGGGGGGCGGGGGGGGGGGGGGGGGGGGCGGGGGGGCCGGGGGGGGGGGGGCGGGGGGGGGGGGGCGGGGAAGGGGGGGGGGCGGGGGGGGGGGGGGGGGGGGGGGGGGGGCGGGGGGGGGGGGGGCGGGGGGGGGGGGCGGGGGGGTATTATAGTATATTTATAAAGGGACCATGTGGGAAAACGATGAGTAATTATTCCGACCCCTATATTAGACACAGTCACACACACACAGAGTCACACACACACACACAGTCACACACACACACACACACACACACATACACACAGAGTCACACACACATACACACCGAGTCACACACACACAAAGAGTCACACACAGTCACACACACACAGGCACACACAATGCACACACAGTCACACACACACACACAGAGGACTTCCTGCCTTTGCCCTTGGTCTCTTTGGCGAGGATCCTCAAGGCCCGCGAAGGCCAAGATGTTCAGGGGTTTAGGGTCTAGGGCCTAGGGTTTAGGGTGTAAGCGTTTAGCATGGATTGTGGTTTGTGGCTAATGGGGGCTTTGCAGATTTATTTTGGGGTTTCAGTGTTCAGGGTGTTCGGGGCGTGCAGCTGCTCAGCCAGGCTGACCCGTGAACACCCTCCCAACAACACATTTCAAAAAAGATCCAACGAGGAAAGTATTGGATATGTCCCCTAAGCCCTACACCCTAAACCCTTATCCTAAATCCTAAAAACCCTAAACTGCAATCACCGAAGAAGTGAACCCTGTTTTGCTTCATGCGGGCTTCTGCTTGTACTTCGTCCGGGGCTGGGGCCCTGAGACGTCCCAGGATGTTAGCGCCAGCGTGGAGGAGTTTCGGGAGTTATATTTCTTGGAGGCTCAGGGAAGTCATAAGCACACTACAGCTGCAATCAGTTTTCTGGCTTCTTAGCCCCGTCTGTAGTATGCCTTTAACTAGTTTACAAGTATACTTGCAACCGGCGCAGGTCCAGGTCCAGAACCGCCACCCGCAACCAAAGCGGGAAAATTCAGAATGGGTAGGAGGGGGGGGCGGGGCTTATGCTCCGCAAAAAAGATGAAGAAATCAGTAATATCTGTACGTATACATACATACATACATACATACATACATACATACATACATACATACATACATACATACATACATACATACATACATACATATATGTACATATATACATATACACACACATATACATATATACACATATGCATATATGCATATACATATATACATATGTACATATATACATTTATACATATATATATATATACATATGCATATTTGCGTGTAATTAATTTCTCTATAGATGTATAGGGTGTTGCAAGTACAGGTTATGAGGGGATCATGTTGGGAACTCTTGTTCAAAACCTAAACCCAAAACCCTAACCCCCCAAAGCCTAAACCCTAAACCCTTTAGGGTTTAGGGTTTAGGGTTTAGGGTTTAGGGTTTAGGGTTTAGGGTTTAGGGCCTAAAGCCCTGAAACCCCTCAGAAGAAGAGGCCGAGGGGCATGACGCGGAAGGGTTTCAGCCCGTGCTGGCCGAGGTTCAGCTCGAACTCCGGAGAGAGGATCCTTGGCGGGTGTAGGGGGTTTAGGGTTTAGGGTTGAGGGTTTCGGGTTTAGGGTTTAGGGTTTTAGGGTTTAGGGCGAAATTAGGGTCTATGGGCAGAGGGGTGACGAATCGCAGCAGTGGGGCAGTCGACTGACAAAGATGCCAGGATGCCGTGTGCACGCTTTTGCTTAACAGTCCAGCAGCCCGGCGGACAAAACCCAGACTGCGTCATCGGTCAGGTACCTGGACAGTCTGGACACCTCCAAAACCATCATTATTAAACACGCGACCACTCTCTCTCCGCCTCTCTGGGAGCGTTCACGTGAGGTCATGTAACCATATGTAACCTGAGTCAGGGCCGCACTAGACAACCTAACCTGTTCACAGGACTATTGCCTTGACGTAACCTAAGAGGGCGCAGGCTCAGCAGTGACAAAGCCAGGCCCACACCTTTACAAAATCTGGCATGCCATCACAAGAATGACCAATATGGCATGCCATCAGGCGACCACACGCACATACAACTTGGCTTGGCGATGTCGCCGAAACTGTTTCGAGTACTGCTGTGATCAGCGGGCTCACCTGGCGCGCAACTCCTTTAAGGCTCTTCGCAGCTTGCTGGCAAGGACGGCCTTCAAACCTGCCTCCTGAGTAATCTGCGCCACTGCATCCGAATCTAACTCCAGCAAATCCTCGAGGCTCCGAGCGCCACTTGATTTAACGATGGCCTCTGCAGCAGATCCCAGGCCTTGATCCTCCAGGAAGCGGTGCAGAGGGATCAGGCTTTGATCGACGGAGCCAGAGAACTGGAAGGTGGGATGCTCGGGGTGCTCAATGCAGCCTTTGCACAAGTTATCCACGGCCTTGCAGAAAGCCATAGCCGCTGCCCCAGTGGTGCCCCCCAAGGAGAGACCTCCACTTAGACCCAAGCCTGCCATGGACATGCTCTGCAAGGAAGCAAACAAGCTCCCTCCCGAAATTGCTGCCATCTTGCTTTGCCACAGGGCGGCCAAGGATCCTCCTGCAATACCCGCGCTTGTGAAGCCCGCTGCTGCCAGCATGGCCGGTGCTGCTGCGACGCTCGCACCCGATGCCACCACCATCGCTGCAGCGCACTTCCAGGGAATGAAAACCTGATCGCACTCCACGCAGTGCCCACTCTGATTGGCCTGGTGCCCGTCTTCACAACAACATCCGTCAAGCCCGTTGGTGTCTGCATCGCACCGGAAGGCGTGAGCACCGCAGCCTTGGACTTGGCGCCACCGAGTAGAACCCGGAATCTCTGTGCCCGATGTGCAGCACCGCCCGAGCTGGAAGGCGGCAAGGAGCGCCAGGGACCGGAGCATGACGCAAGTCAAGATCACGACTCTGCAAAGTTAGACCCCCTTTGTGTGTCACAACAAGGGACTCCTGGTTAGAAGGTTCTTCTAAACCCTAAACCCTAAAAGCAAGACTTCGGTTGGGACTGGCAGCTTCTAAATGCAGAGCTTGCCTAGCTTGCCTACAACGTCTTACTAAAGGCTGCTGGGCCAATGTGTCAAGGCGTGCGATCTGCAGACAGAGCGCGCTTGAATTCAGAGGGTTCCCGGTTTGAGTTCCTCTAGAATCTTGCGAAACCCCAAGCCTAAACCCTCAACCGGTACCATATCCTAAACAGCTATTCCTTCATGAGTTGAACATGTGTTAATCTTAAACGTCTAAACTCTAAACCCACAAACCTAATGAACCCCGAAACCCTTGAACTTAAGGAACCCTCAGCCCCTAAACCTCGTGAACCCCAAGTCCTTAAAAAACCTTGTGAACCCTCAATCCTAAACCCTAAACCCTAAACCCTAAACCCCGATGTAAACTGCTGAGCTGACAATCCCCCTCCAGTGCATGCCAAAGCTCTGCTTCTCCTGCGACTCCAGCTTCCGGGCGTCCACGCTCCAACGAACCAACTCCTAGAGGCTAGGAATTAGGTAGGGTTTAGGGTTTAGGGTTTAGGGTTTAGGGTTTAGGGTTTCGGGTTTCGGGTTTAGGGTTTAGGGTTTCAGGATCTAGGGGTTTAGGGTTTAGGGTTATGGGTTTTAGGGTCTAGGGGTTTCGGGTTTGGGGTTTTAGGGTCTAGGGGTTTGGGGTTTGGGGTTTTAGTGTCGAGGGTTGAGGGCTCCAGGTTGAGTGAGGATTAAGGGTTAAGGCTTTAGAGGGTTTGGGGGTCCATTGGGGGTTTGGGGTTTTAGGGTCTAGGGTTTGGGGTTTGGGGTTTCGGGTGTAAGGTTGAGGGTTAAGGGATCAAGGGTTTAGGGGTTAAGGGTATAAAGGTTCATCAACCCTAAACCCTAAACCCTAAACCCCAAACCCCTAAACCCCAAACCCCAAACCCTAAACCCTGGCCTTGCCATTGGGCAACGTGACGCACTGCAGGGGCGAGGCGGCGGCGTCCATCTTGACCTCCACCTTCATGGGGTTTAGGGTTTAGGGTTTGGGGTTTTGGGGGGTTTGGGGTTTAGGGTTCAGGGGTTTTGGGGGATTTAGGGTTTAGGGTTTGGGGTTTCGGGGTTTCGGGGTTTGGGGGTTGGGGGTTTGGGGTTTAGGGTTTAGGGTTTTGGGGGTTTAGGGGTTTAGGGTTTGGGGTTTTTGGGGCTTGGGTTTGGGGTTTGGGGTTCAGGGTTTAGGGTTTGGGGTTGAGGGGTTTTGCGGGTTTGGGGTTTAGGGTTTAGGGGTTTTGGGGTTTAGGGTTTGGGGGTTTAGGGTTTAGAATTTAGGGGCTTAGGGGCTTAGGGGTTTAGGGTTGAGGGTTTGGGGGTTTAGGGGTTTTGGGGTTTTGGGGTTCAGGGTTTGGCTTGGTGAATCGGAGATGAGGGTCGAAGGGCTCAGGGTCTCATTGGGGAATCGGAGTCGAGATCTTCGTGCAACTCAGAAAAATCGTATTCCCGAGGTCCTGTATTGGTGCAGTTCTCCCCCTCTCAGGCCTACCAAGCTCTAAGCTCCTCTGAGAACCTTACTGCTTCATGACAATAGCAGGCTAAATATTCTTTGAGTTGTCATATACTTCCCTAAGCTCTTACGGTAGCTACATGGTGGATCCGTTATGTACCCCTTTTATACCGCATACAAGCCAAGGGCGCATACTTCAGAACCCTTTCAAGGATACTCTTAGATGAAAAAAAAACAAAAGACCTAAAACCTAAACCCTGGGGCCTATTGAAGTTGGACCCTAAACCCTAAACCCTAAACCCGAGACCCTCCACCCCACCCAGCCTGCCCCTGTGGCAGTGCCGTCTGACCTGTTCTGCCGAGAAGGATCGGCTGCCTCCCAAGCGGTCGGAAGGGGGGAGGCTAGGAATTAGGTAGGGTTTAGGGTTTAGGGTTTAGGGTTTAGGGTTTAGGGTTTAGGGTTTAGGGTTTAGGGTTTGGGGTTTAGGGTTTAGGGTTTAGGGTGTAGGGTGTAGGGTGTAGGGTGTAGGGTTTAGGGTTTAGGGTTTGGTTTTGGGTTTAGGTCGTCCCGCCGCGCAGCGGCAGTAAGTGTGGGGGGGGGGGGGGGGGCGGCATGTCACGCGAAGGCATCTATTGTCAATGTAATCCAATAATTTCATTGGTGCTGGGTCCTTTCTCCCCACCCGCTGTGAGCTTTCACAGGCCACCACCCAAACCACTGCCTTTTAGGGTTTAGGGCTGTCGCCCTCAATTCCCACCTCAAGGGGCCGCAGTTCGAAACGAGCATTTTTGGGCTCTGGAGGGGTACCCCCCAGGGAAACGTCGACCGAAGGATTCCGGCCCAGGCTTTAGGGTATTCTCATCAAGAGGAGCCTAAAAGCAAGGCTCAGCCCTAGGGGCTGTATTCGACCATTCTCCCCATTGTCCATCCAGTAAAGGTGTATCTCGCTGCCGGGTATAATTCTGGGTCCAGGCACCCTAGTATAGGGTGGGTACGGCCTATGCCTATGCAGGCCGGGTGGGAATTTAGGGTTTAGGGTTTCGGGTTTCGGATTTAGGGTTTAGGGCTCAGGGCTTCCGGGTTTAGGAATTTTGGGGCTTATAGGATTCCCAATCTGCAACACCAATTTCGACTTCAGCGTTTTCATGCCCCCAAATGGATGAACTCGTATAAGTCTTCTATCCAGTCAATCGGCCTCTCAGGCCTCGGTGATCCTGACGCACCCATGATTTCAATTCCCGGAGAATGGTCTCTCCAGTAAATTCTTTCGCCTGCCAACGGGTGCTTCTCCATCAGGGCCGAAAATCCTGCCGCGTCCGGGACTCTCCCGAGGTATGGGTGCTCCTTCCTGAAGATGATGTCGTCTCCCTTGAACTTGTGTCCCGGTGTGAAGACGAATAGAACTGCTTTCGGCCAGATTGGGGCTCAGGGTGCAGGTTTCTTTTTGTTAGGGTTGATTAACATTATGGCGCTCTTTGAGGCGTCTCTGCTGTGGTAGACTCCGACAGGAAGGGCCCCCCCTAGTTCTAAGTAGAGTTATACGGACCCTAAATTGGGTTATAAGGATCCTAACTTAGATTATAGGTCCCTTAACTATAATTAGTATAGTAAGGGGGCCCCTCCTTGTACCTCAAGACTCTGATGCAATCCTCTTCAGGGCCCTTCTTGGCTGTTGTTCCGCTAGTTGCGAGCGTCTCGGGTCTAGTACGTTCAGAAGAACTGCTCCCTTAAACACTTTAAACTTTAAACCCTGACCCTAAATTCCAACAATCCCAAAATCCCATGATCCCAAGATCCCAAAATCCCAAAATCCCAAAATCCCCAAAGCCCCAAAATCCCAAAATCCCAAACACCCAAAAGCCCCAAAACCCTAAACTCAGCTTAGAGACTCTGGGCCCTAAGAAGCCCCAAAGCCCTTAGCGGGCTCAGGGCGCAGGGCTTGGCGATTGGTGTTTCGGGCTTTTGGGGTTTAGGGTTTAGGGTTTCGGGCTCCTAGGGTTTAGGGTTTAGGGTTTAGGATTTAGGGTTTAGGGTTTAGGGTTTCGGGTGCTACCCTACTAAGAGTTGCGTCTTGGGGACTTGGGGCTTGCTCGGGTTTAGGGTCCCAAGTTGCAAATCAAAAGCTCGTGGAAGGGACTTCGATCAGGCGTCCAGGTAAGTTAGGGCTCTCGTCCCTAAACCCTAAACCCTCAATCCTAGGGATCGAGGCCCGAACCCTCAGAGCTGGACACAAAGCCTAGGAACCCATAAGCCTAGGAGCCCAGAAAGCCGTTGAACCGCAAAGAACAGAAACCATAAGCCCTGAACGCAGAACCCCCCCCCCCGCCATAGCCCCAGCCTAAACCCTAAACCCTAAAAGCCCGAAACCCCAAACCCGAAACCCTAAAAGCCCTAAACCCTAAAAGCCCTAAAAGCCCTAAGCCCTATAAGCCCTAAGCCCTAAGCCCTAAACCCTAAACCCCCCTCCCCAAGCACCCTAAAGGCACCCCGAAATTCATGGCTGGCCTCGGACTAGTGCTGGGAGAGCTTGGCGTGGGAGCCGTCGCTGGGGCTGGCACGGAGATCAGGCCTAGGTATTGGGTTTAGGGTTTAGGGTTTAGGGTTTAGGGTTTAGGGTTTAGGGTTTAGGGTTTAGGGTTTAGGGTTTAGGGTTTAGGGGCCTTACAAAAACAGGATCAGGTTTTGGGGGAGTGTTGTAGCATAATTGCAAAGGGACCATAAGGGAATGTTCTTTGTACTGATTCCGACCCCTATAGTTGGGTTTGTCGGTTCAGGGTTGTAGTCCGGGTTCGGAGTTTCGGGGGTCTGAACTACTGATGCACTGTTGCGAGGCCTTCCCAGTCCTCTTAAGCCCTAAACCCCCCCCACGTTGCTGACGATTCAAAGCCTCTGCAGTTCATGCATCCTCAACTCGTGTTCGGGATGACTGTAGGGCTTTGATTGTTTGATTGGGACTTCGTACTTCCGGGGTGGGAGGGGGCTTCCAGGCTTGTAGTCTTATTCTGTGGGCTTTAGCAACCAATTCTTGCATGAGGGTGCGTCTTAAGGCATTGGTACCGGGGGGGAAGAGGGGAAGCCGGGGGGGGGGGAAACCATTCCCCTAAAGCATTCTCCTAAACCCTAAACCCAAAACCCTAAACTTCCGGGCCCCCACCCTGACCCATGGCCGCAGGGGCCGGTATCACCGCAGGCACGAGCTGCACCTTGAGGCTTCTTAGGACTCCCTATTGCTGGGCAGGGCCTGGGTCTGTAATGTTTAGGGTTTAGGGTTTAGGGTTTAGGGTTTAGGGTTTAGGGTTTAGGGTTTAGGGTTTAGGGTTTAGGGTTTAGGGCTTGGGGTTAAGGGTTTAGGGCTTCGGGTTTCGGGTTTCGGGTTTAGGGTTTGGGGTCTGGTAGGGTTTGCAGCGGTTGGGTTGAGGGTCGTGTTTTCAATCCCAGGACTGACTGGCTGGCTCTCATGCAACCTCTGTGGCAAGCTATTGGCCTCTGTGGCGCTTCAGGCTTTAGGAACTTGAGGACGTAGGCTTTTGGTTTTAGGGCTCAGGGCTTAGGGCTTAGGGTTTAGTGCTTAGGGTTTAAGGGTTTTAGGGTATAGGTTTCAGGGTTTAGGGTGTGGAGTTTAGGGTTTGCGCCTTTGGGGCTTAGGTTTAGGGCTTGGTTTCGGGTTTAGGGTCTACGCCGTGGGTTCTTCCTTCGTCTCAACTTTGGGCTGCTACAGGGATTTTCAAGGCTTAGGATTCTTAACGCACAGAGGCATCGTAGGAAGCCCGAGAACTCTCAACCTTGAATAGACACCCTAAAGCCCTAACAAAACGAGTAAAAACCAAATTTAAGAACCCTATACCCCAAAAAACACCGAAACCGAGACCCCGTCATGGGGTCGAGAGGTTCTCGGGTGAATCTGCTTCTCTGCTGGGGATCGGCTTGGGTGACCGAGGTGCTGGTATGGCCTGCACGCACATCATCGTGTTTGCTGGCATGGGGTTCTCCTCCATCAGGCTCACTTCGGTTTAGTCTTCAAAATGTAGGATTGGGGTTGAGGTCAGGCTTTCTTTTTTTTTTGGGGGGGGGGGGGGGGGGGGGGCGGGGGGCGGGGGGGCGGGGGGGGGGGGGGGGGGCGGGGGGCGGGGGGCGGGGGGCGGGGGGGGGGGCGGGGGGCGGGGGGCGGGGGGCGGGGCGGGGGGGGCGGGGGGCTGGGGGCGGGGGGCGGGGGCGAAGCGAGGGGCGGGGGGGGGGGGGGGGGGGGGGGGGGGGGGCGGGAGGCGGAAGGGAACCCTAAACCCTACACCTTGATGGTGAATGAGCCTGAACCCTAAACCCTAAACCCTTAATTCATGGTTTAGGGTTTACGGTCTGGGTTTCAGAGTAGCTTTGGGCTTGGGGGCTCTCGTTGGAGCCTAGCCCCGACTCCTCACTAGGGTGCAGGGTTTAGGGCGGTTTAGGGTTTAGGGCTTAGGGTTTAGGGTTTAGAGCTTAGGGTTTAGGGCTTAGGGATTAGAGTTCGGGTAATCCTGCAGGCTAAAACATTGGGATTCATGGCTTAGGGCTTCAGGCTTAGCGGGACCCGGGCTTAGGGTCGACATCAGGGGCTCCAGGTCTAACTCTGTATTCCCAAAGCCCGGAACCCGAAGACCTCAGGTTCTTCAGGACCCTAAACCCTAAACCCTAAACCCTAAACCCTAAGCCCTAAACCCTAAACCCTAAACTCTAAACCTTAAACCCTAAACCCTAAACCCTAAACCCTAAAACCTAAACCCTAAACCCAAACAAAAAATCACACCCTGCCCCACAAAACTACCCCAGGGCCCAGCCCTGCACCCTGCACCTCAAGGCTGCTTTGGCCCCCGTTCGCATAACCCTGCAAAGGGTTTAGGGGTTAGAGTTTAGGGTTTCGGGTTTAGAGTTTAGGGTTTAGGGTTTAGGGTTCAGGGTTTCGGGTTTAAGCTTTACGTGTCTACGATTTTCGATGTAGGGTTTACCGATTTGGAGCCTAGGGTCTCGTATCTGGGGCATAGAGATTTGGGTTCAGGGCATCGGTCCTAGAGTTCTGTATATTTAGGCCTCAACCCTCAACCCTAAACCCTAAACCCTAAACCCTAAACCCTGAACCCTGAACCCTGAACCCTGAACCCTGAACCGTCCTGGCCACGGCAAGGCATTGGCCCTGTCTGTCCGGGGAGGGCTGAGTTGGCCACCAGGCGGCCAGAAGAAAGCGATCCTTCCGCAGGTAGGTTTAGGGTTTAGGGTTTAGGGTTTAGGGTTTAGGGTTTAGGGTTTAGGGTTTAGGGTTTAGGGTTTAGGGTTTAGGGTTTAGGGTTTAGGGTGTAGGGTGTAGGGTTTAGGGTTTAGGGTTTAGGGTTTAGGGTTTAGCTGAACCCTGAACCCTAAACGATGGTTTACGAGCTTCGGGTTCCAGGGGGCGTAGGTTTTAAGAGTGGAAGGCAGTGGAAAGGATATCGGAGTTGCAGTGTTTAGGTGCTCTTAGAGCTGAGGGAGTTTGACAAAGGCAGCCGTGCCCACTACACGGATGGAGAATCTACAACTGCAATTACTCGTGTTTAGCTTACACTGGCAACGGTCAAGCAAAGTAAGTGTCAAATTACAAAACGCGAACGGAAACCGATACTGCCGGGCCAGTATGCTGCTACAATGGGACACGCGCCACTTGATACTACTGACAGCGTTCTTCGGGGCCAGGACTTGCTCGCCCGGCTGGCAAATGAGCTGCTTCGACGTCGGCATGGCAAGCCCCAAGGGGGCAAGTTCCCCGTTCACAGGCTTCAAAATCCGGCAGTATCGGACAGCTCCCGACGACTGACCTGCCAGTCCCATCGCTCGCGTGACGTCCTCGCCTGGCCATGGCATCGAGCTCCTTGCCCCAATGGAATTCCCACAGCAAATGCCAACCAATAACCCAAAATCATCCATTGGAGGCTCATGAAGCCAAGGCAGAGTTTAAAGGTTACCTACCCAGTCCCCACGTCTTTCAACGGAATGCAATGCTCCGAAAGGAACGGTCATCCAGATGGACGGCTTTGGGGCCCCTGAGTGTGGGATCCCCTCAACCCTAAACCCTAAACCCTAAACCCTAAACCCTAAACCGCCCTTGGCACTTCAAACCCGCTCCACCGGGTGGGACATCTTCAGGCGGCACAGGCCAGGCATACTCAGCTCAGGGGGTCGGCACTTTGGGGGGTTTCGGGCTTAGGGGTTTGGGGGTTCAGGGGTTTCGTGGTTTAGGGGGTTAAGGTTTAGTGGTGTAGGGGTTTAGGGGTGTAGGGTTTAGGGCTTAGGGTGGTGCCGAAACCCTTGCTAGGGAACATTATGGGCTGGGAACCCGAGCCAGGAGACCCGCGCAGAGCGCATGAGACCCAAAGGTTGGGAAATGTGAAGCCCCCTCGCCCAAATTTCCTAAACCCTCTTTTTGTGGCTTAGGGTTTGTAGGGTTTACGGGCTTAGGGGGCTAGGAGTTTAAGGGTTTAGGGGTTTGGGGGCTTAGGGGTCTAGACCCAGGAGTAAGCTTGGAATAAAAAGGGTGCCCTTTTGGATCTAAAGGGTGTTCTAAGGGAACCCCAACCCTTAAACAAAGGGAATAAGGGCACTCTCGGTCCTCGTAGCCCTAAACCCTAAACCCTAAACCCTAAACCCTAAACCCTAAACCCTAAACCCTAAACCCTAAACCCTAAACCCTAAACCCTAAACCCTAAACCCTAGGGGTTTAGGGATTAGGGTTTTCGAGTTAAACTCGTGCGGCTCCTGCTCGGTCTGCCTCGAAAGGATCGTTGGTCGACACCTTGTCCACCTCGAAGGGGTCGAAGGTCGACACCTGCCCGGGATGTCGGAAGATAGGGTTTATTGTTTAGGGTTTAGGGTTTAGGGTTTAGGATTAGGGTGTAGGGTCTCCGGGTCTCCTTTCGCTTCTAATCGGGATTCTGTTCGTGTGAATCAGGGGGTATTTATGTTCCTAAAGCCAAAAGAACCCTACACCCTAAACCCTAAACCCTAAACCCTAAGCCCTAAACCCCACTATCGGTATGTTGCCTAACTGAAAAACTCTCTTCTGCGTTCGGGCTCTTGGTGGGCCCAAGACTGCCCGCGATCCTATGCTCAAGCTCAGGACTCAGGTTCAATTGTTTATTTGTTTACTTATTTATGCATTTATTTCTGTTCAGTGTTAGTATATGTCTAGTTCATATTGGGCATAATATGATGAATTACAATTTCTATTCCTTATTGAGTGTAAGTACCCTGAAAAATGTAAAATGTTTCCCCGCTATGACAAAGAGATACCTGTATATGTAGAGTATCATACACACATACACTCATTCCGGGGTGCCTACAATGGTCGCTCTTGAACTCCTTTCTGCGCCGCACCACGTGGCCACTCCCACAGCGTCCAGAACCCTACATCCTAAAGTACCCCTGGTGCTTCGTATGGAATGAGGGAATTCGGGCCGGGTATATACCCTTGGGGTTTAGGGTTTAGGGTTTAGGGTTCCCTCATGCCCTACGACCCGGCGAAGAGCCAGCCAGAAGCACACCAAGCTGGACAGCCAGCCTTCTGAACTGAGGGAGCCCGGTCGAGACCACTCTCCTCATCCTTGGCGGGGTGCGGGCTAGGGCTTAGGGTTTAGGGTTTAGGGTTTAGGGGGTTTAAAGGGTTTAAAGGGTTTAAAGGGGTTAAAGGGTTTAAAGGGTTTAAAGGGTTTAAAGGGTTTAAAGGGTTTAAAGGGTTTAAAGGGTTTAAAGGGTTTAAAGGGTTTAAAGGGTTTAAAGGGTTTACACTCTGTGTCGTCCTGCTCGATGATTTGTCTGGTTTTCCCCGCTTGGATGGTATTTTTTGGGTTTATTTGCCCCTGGCGGGGCTACTACTCCCATCGCTCTTGCTTCCACTCGTAGTGCGAGGACTGCCAGCGGGAGGAAGCGCTCTCTTGCCTTGACCCCCGATGCTGCCCAGATATCCTGTTCCGTGGGCGTCATCGTGTTGGGCATTGGGAAGTCTGTGGAGCGGGGGGGGGGGGGGACTTCTCTGAGTGCTATGCCTTCTGGGTGCAGGTGTTCCCCCACCTGTGTGGTGGTGTACTGTGTTGCGGTTGAGGGTGTCCTGTAGTCCTTCGCCTCCGAACTCCAAAAACCAATTCTGTATACTGACAGTCCAACCCTCGAGAAAATCCTAAACCCTACAAACCCCATAAATCTTACAAACCCTTCAAACTCTGTACCTGTCTGAGCTTATGTTTAGGATTTAGAGGGCCTGTAAACCCTGAAAACGCTGCAAAACCCTGTGTCGTAAGACCCTTGAACTTAAAAGGTCCTTCAGGGATGGAAGTTCACGCGGGTAGGTACCTAGGGCACTTTAGGGAAGCTTAGAGAGCCCTACGGGACAAGTGTTGGGGAACCTTGGGTGAGATACCCCCCCTTGAAACCCATCCCGCCCCTAAGGAATCTTAAGTCCTAAACCTAAAAATTATGAACTCCTCTAAACCCTAAACCCTAAACCCTAAATCCTAAACCCTAAACCCTAAACCCTAAACCCTAAACCCTAAAATTATGAACTCAGCCATGCCACCACATCCTCCTCAAGGTCCTCGGAGACAACAAGCAAGGGCAGTCGGGTCCACTGCTTATTAGTTTTTTGGGGTCGCTACGGAACCTAACAGTCCTTCAGACCCTGTAAGGGGCTGAGGTTGAATGGCTTAACTAGGGTTTCATTAGGGTTCATAGGGCTACAAACCCTTCAAACCCTATAAGGGTAGAATTCGGGTTCAGGGCCTATAAGGCTTAGGACTTCATAGTCTAGCCTGATTAAGGGTTCAGGTCAAGACCCTCAAGAGACGCCAAGGCCTAAAGTAAAGTCACCCCCACCCAGATGAACCCTTAAACCTTATTTCCTTAACCGTTGAGCCTTTCAGAGAATTCCGCCTAAGTTTAGGGTTTTAGGGTTTATGGTTTCGGGTTTAGTTAGGGCTTAGGGAGGTTTAGGGAGGGTTCGGGGCTTCGGGTTACAGGGCATAGGGCTCTTGATTTGGGCGATAGCTTGATTGGGTTTAGGGTTTAGTGGGTTTAGGGTTTAGGGTTGAGGGTTTAGGGTTTAGTGTGTAGGGTTCAAGGTTGTAACTCACTCGGCTGTTCCAGAAAACTCTCTGAAGCCGAGGCGACAAACAAGAAAACCTAAACCCTAAACCCTAAACCCTAAACCCTAAACCCTAAACCCTATAAACCTCAAGTCGCAGGCCCTCGAGATGGTCACTTCCTAAAATATGCGGGCACTTTTGGGGTCCCTATGATAAGGCGGCCCCCAAAAAAATTCGGGGTACAGTACCCAAAAAAGGGACCCTAATTGACAGCAACATCGAGTTTTGGAGTGGGGGGGGGGGGGGGGGGCGCGGAAATTCTTGAAATCAACCCTTCTTAGAAGGGCCCTAGGCGTCATGCGGCTGCGGTTGGCTTAGGGTTTAGGGTCTAGGGTGTAGGGCCCCAAGCTTCTCCAAGGCAATTTCGGGCCCTCCCTTTCGTGAACCTGATTCTTTCATGTCATGCAGGTCTGACACGAAGCAACCACCACGAATCTCTAAACCCTAAACCCCGTATGAGCCCTAAGCCCTGAACCCCAACACCAGGCTAAACCTTCCGTTCCTCCATCACCCTAAAACCCTATAAACCCTAAAGACCCCTAAAGACCCCTAAAGACCCCCAACCCCTAAACCCCTAAACCCCTTCAACCCTAAAAACCCTGAAAAAAAACCTAAAAAACCTCAAAACCCTGGAAGAGTAGGGCTGGCACGAAGCAGGCATCGAAGGAGTCGTAAGTCTTAACGTGAGTCCTCAGCTGGGAGTTGAGATGGCGCGGGGCGGGCTTCAAGGTCTTGAAGGTGTTTGGGGTTTAGGGTTCTTTAGGGTTTAGGGTTTAGGGTTTAGGGTTTAGGGTTTAGTGTTTAGAGCTCAGGGTCTTTTTCCCCTAAGCCCCTAGACCAGAATCCAACCGCAGCGCGATGCTAATCAAGACCCGAGGTTTAGGTTTGGGGTTTGAGGTTTGGGGTTTGGGGCTTAGGGCTACTAGGACCCGGAACCCCAAACTCCAAGCCTCCACAACCGGAACCCGACATGACGCGTCTCTTGGGGGTTTCCGAAAATACGGGGTACCTTTTGGGGGCGGGGGGGGGGGGGGGGGGGTAAAAAAAAAAAATCATAAGAGCACGGGAAAATTTCAAACTTATTTGTGTGCACGTGAAAAAGGAGAAGAGAAAAAAAGACAGGCGCGTGTCACGTTCGTACGTTCTGATACAGCATGATATTATTTGCATTCACTTCGCTCTACACAATCTTAGTTGGGTCCCTTTAAGGGCTTAGGGTTTAGGGATTCTATTCTGTTTGGGGTCTAAAAGGGGTACCCCGATTTTGGGAAATACCCATCTTGGCATAGGCTCATGGCGATGGGGAAGGTGTCGTCATCCTCATCTTCCTCCTTGCTCCGGTGTTTCTCCGGAGAAGTCATGGGGCTTAGAGGGTTTAGGGTTTAGGGTTTAGGGTTTAGGGTTTAGGGTTTAGGGTTTAGGGCTACTACCCCAGAGTAGGCCCCAATTCTCTTTTTGTTTGGGGCTTGGGTTTGCTTTTATGGGTTTGCGGTAAGCTCTTCAACACACTCGCCGCGCTTTCCATCGTTTTTTTTTTCGCTGGTTTTTGAGGAGCTTGGGGCTGACTGTAAGGGTGGTAACTCGGAGTCCGACGCCCTAAACCCTAAACCCTAAACCCTAAACCCTAAACCCTAAACCCTAAACCCTAAACCCTAAACCCTAAACCCTAAACCCTAACTTTTGATAAAGGTACCCCTTGGGGTTGGTTACTTCATTGCAAGAAGGGAACCCAGCAACAAGAAAAAGGTGGCAAAGGCGCACCACTCGGCCACCAAGAAGGGTTTAGGGCTTAGGGTTTAGGGTTTAGGGCTTTAGGAGTCTGGGGTGCGGTGGTTGGGGTGTATCACTGGGCACCCACACTAAACCCAAAACCCAAAACCCTCAATCCTCAACCCTCAACCCGTTTAGAACCCAGAGTTTGGGGGGAAAATATTGGGGATCTCCAAGCCTTAAGGCTTCACCTGGGACTCTATCTACGTACAGTTTAGTAGTATCTCCCCCGTAATTAGTAGGTAGAAACCAGAAAACTGTAGGTAAAGAGAGTCCCAGGCAGGTGTTCAGGGTTTAGGATTGCTCAGACCGGCCTCCTCATTTGGGATCTCGCGGTCATCGCGCTCGGCAGGATAGACCTGCCAAGTTGCAAACGCGCCGTGGAGACGAAATGAGCCATAAACGAATCCTGTAATGAAGCAGGGTATGTATTTCTTGTACCCCCAAAAGGACACCCGGTATATACACTCACCAATATGAAAAAGGAAGCTTATATACACTCACCAACAACAGCAATATAAACCCTGCTTTATACTTAGGGTTTAGGCTCAGGGGCCCCTGGACTTTCATAGGTTGCAGGGCAAGGACCATAAGGGACCCCCTCCAAACCCCATCAGAACCCAAAACTACGGACTTCACATAGGGCTTAGGGTTTATGGTTAATTCCAGGTCACAAGGGATAAGTGTTTATGGCCCCTAAACTCCAAACTCAGAAACCTCGGAACCAGAACTCCGAAACGCCAAGCCAAAAATCCGAGAAGCCGTGTGCACCCCATGAACCCCAACCACAAACCCCAAACCCTAAGCCCAAATCCCTAAACCCTAAACCCTACACCCTAACCCCTAAACCCTAAAAGCCCCAATCCTCACTGGCACGCCCCAATCCTAGAACCCAGACCTCAAAGCCAATGTCCGAAATCTTAAGCTGTAAACCCCAAACCCTAAGCCCCAATCCCTAAACCCTAAACCCTAAGCTGAACCAGTGTGTATAGGTTAAGGGTTTATGGTTTGGGGATGGCATGATGTCAGGCTGGCCCTGTAAATCTCTCTGAGAATGGTTTGGGGCTTAGGCTTTAGGGTTAAGGTCTTAAATTACATGACCCAACCTGCCTAGGATGCTACATACAAGTCAGCCCCAGCAGGTTAAAGCCCGAAAACTCTACATCAACCTAATGAGCCTTAGATCAAACCCTAAACCCTAAACCCTGAAACCTAAACCCTAAACCCTAAACCCTAAATCCTAAACCCTAAACCCCAAACCCTAAACCCCAGTGAGCCCAAAAACCCTAACAAGGCACCTCCGTGCTGTCATCGTCCTGGCAAGCAGAGAAGCTCACGGGTCAGGGCTTGCCGGCTGGGCACGGAAGAAGAAGACAAAAAAGTTGCGGGGTTTGGGGTGCAAACCCTAAACCCTAAACCCTAATCCCAAAGCTCTAAACCCTAAACCCTAGGGTTGAGGATGTAGGGTTCTAGGGTCGCAGTTCGGGGGTTTAGTGTCCTTTGCAGGGCTTTGAGGGTTCTTTCTTGAAGTGGCGAAGCGCGTGGCGACCGGGTCTGCACAGGTCAGCCTTTTCGGGTGCACTGTGTTGAGCTTGGAGCCCTACTTTTCCGCGAAACTGGGGTTTAAAGATTAGGCTTTGGGTGCGTTAGAAGGATTTCTCAGATCATAAGCAAATCTTAGGAGACGTTCGGCCAATCCAGGGAATCCACGCAAAGCCCCAATAAACAAGGTGCCTAGGTTAGAGATAAGATCGTGCTGTTGTACGGCTGGTAGGTTCTTCACCGTCCCAGTTGGGGATTTTTACTATCATACAGTGTCTGATATGTAGGATTGGCGCTCTAAACCCTAAACCTTACAAAATCGAAACCCTAAAAACCCTAAGCCCTAAAAACCCTAAGCCCTAAACCCTAAGCACTAAGCCCTAAACCCCAAACCCTACTCCTCAACATAGGAGTTGATCTGAACCATGCCTTCCAGTTTGGGATACAAGCCCTGAACCCAAAACCTTTTTTTGCTTTTTTGGGGATACCACCAGGGTCGATGGTTTAGATCAACCACCGATTGGCCAAAGCCACACACAGCAGAACCCAAGGCTAGCCGGGTTTGGGGCTTTTGTAGCTGGGTTTAGGGGGCTAGAGTCGGACCGTACAGTGTTTTGGGATTAAGGTTCCTGGGGTATCAAATAGGTGTTTCCCTAAAACTCTAAGCCGTGTAACCCTAAACCCTTAACCCTAAACCCTCAACCCTAAACCCTAAACCCTAAAGCAAACAGGGTTTTTCGGGGTTTAAGGCGGAGGATGGCACCTCGATGTTGAGCATGCTGCCGGGGGCTGAGCGGGTGGTCTTCTGTCGCCAGGCCATCCTCTGGCGCGGGCAAACACTGCACAAAACTCTGAACCCTCTGGTAATTCATGTGACCCAGCTATGTTTCATGGGTGTGTTTGGAGGTTTTGGAATTTACGATTTACCAAGGGCATAGGCAGCAGGGTATGCGATCAGGCTGCACTTTGATTCATGCTTTCTCCTTACGCCAACACCGGCGCCCTCGCCAGCACACCCTGACCCTGAACTAACCCCAGAAGCACCAAGCCAGGAAACCTTTTAACGGCACCCTGACAAAATCTGGAGCTCCAACCCTTTCTTTCCCCCCCAAATAAAACCCTTAAACTGCAGACAGAAGCCCAAAACCCTGAACCCCAAACCCGAAAACCCTAAACCTTCCCGAAGCATGACCCCCTGGTTCTTAGTAGGGAATGAGGGAATATATATATATATATATATACATACCCTTTAAGGGATTATATAGGGTACCTCATTCCCTCACTCCCTACTAAGGACCGGCCAGATGAAAGTCGGACCCCGGTCCTCGCTTCCTTGTCCGGCACATGCACGAAGGTGTTCACCACCTCACGGTTAAGGGTTTAGGGTTTAGGGTTTAGGGTTTAGGGTTGAGGATTTAGGGTTTAGGGCAACGTCTGCAGTCGAGTCCAGTGTTTGGAGGGTGGGAGGGAGGGGAGAGGGGATGAGGCTCATCACTTGGAATGTTCCCGTATACTAACAGTCCTTTATCGGGATTATAGTAGGAGGGCACGATGATCCCTAATAAGGACTGCTAGTATAAGGGGGACCATCCCAACTTCTGACAACTAGAAACATTTAGCAGTAACAAGAATATCTGTAAACAAGAATATCTGTAACAGTTCAGTATACAAGTAAAAACTACTTAAGAACAATGCCTAATCCTAAGCCCAGAAAACACCCTCCGTGCTCTTAATACCAACATCCTGTGACATTGCAGTTCGCGCCCATGCGCAAACCCAACAAACGCAACAAACCCAGCAAAACCTTGGGATGTTCCCCCTTATACCAACAGTCCTTCATAGGGATTATGATAGAGGGTACTTTCATCCCTAATCAGGACTGTCAGTATAAGGGGGAACATCCCAACACAAACCGACAATTCCAGACTGCTCCCAAGTAGCAGAAATCTCCTCTGCCTGGTCCTCTTGGAACTTAACACTCCGGGGGGCCTCCAATGAGCAAGCTGAGCCCCGGGTCACAGAGCATTGGGACCATCTAACAATACATCCTAAAGTAGACCTCAAACCCTAAACCCTAAACCCTAAACCCTAAATCCTCATATTTAAACTGGGTGTGGAGGGAATGGCTGAGGGGCTTCCAGGGCTTCTTGCCGCTCACAACCAGTACAGTCTCACACGCAGGCCAAAGGTTCCCAATTGGGGTTTGGTTTAGGGTTTAGGGTTTAGGGCTAGGGTTTAGGTTTTGGGGTTTAGGGTTTAGGGTTTAGGGTTTAGGGTATAGGGTATAGGGTTTTTGGGGCTTAGAGTTTAGGAGTTAAGGTTTAGGGTTTTGAGATTTAAGGTTTAGGGTTATAGGTTCATGGTTTAGGGTTTAGGGCAACTCCAGCCACAAGCTAAGGGTGCAAAGGGCCTGTGGGCTCAGGTCTTAGAATGCAAGGATAGCACAATTGACACATTCGGTTTAGCGTTTAGGGTTTAGGGTTTAGGGTTAAATTAGCTAATGTCACAGCGAGCTGCGCACGACTTCTCCTTTCGTAGAAAAGACTCTTCAACCGAAATGACACTCAAAGCTTAAACCCAAAATCCTAAACCTCAAACCCTAAGCCCAAGACTCTGAACCTAAACCCTAAACCCTAAACCCTAAACCCTAAACCCTAAACCCTAAACCCTAAACCCTAAACCCTAAACCCTAAACCCCACGACTGGAAAAGTGCCAAGCTCCCATGGCGCAAAGCTCCCCAGGAGCTCTTGGAGTTTTTGAGACGAACTTGGGGCTTAAGGGTTCGGGCTCAGGGTTTCCCTTAAGGGAAGCCTAAAGCCTAAAGCCTAAAGCCTAAACCCTAAAGCCTAAACCCTAAACCTTAAACCCTAGACCCTAGACCCTAGACCCTAGACCCTAGACCCTAGACCCTAAACCACCTCTAGGTGTTTTATTAGGGTTCAGTAGCATCATGTTCATGGTACTGAGCAAATGATACCCTGCACCTAATCCGTAAACCCCAAGCCCTAAACCCTAAACCCTAAACCCTAAACCCTAAACACCCAAACCTTCAACCCACGGTCGAGTTGAGGGTGTTTGAGACCCTGGGCCGCGCGCCTGGGCCGCCATTGCTCCGCAAGAAAGCAGCACTTACTAGCTTGGGCAGGTGTTGCTGCGGTTGAGGGTTTAGGGTTTAGGGTTTAGGGTTTAGGTTTAAGGCTTTGGGGTACAATAATCCCTATTAAGGATGCCCACCCCACCCCCCCCCCCCCCCCCCCCAACTCCCCCAACCTGAGCCCGAAACATGTCCCTAAGCTATCAGCGAGCGGATCATGCACTAAAGGCTTGATTTGTTGTAGGGTACCTAAGCCTAAGAATCTTTTCGACAAAGAGGTTCTGCATGAATAGCCCGCCTGGTCAGAAGGAAAAAACGCCACACGTTTTTGGCTCTTGAGCTATAAGGACTTATACAGGGGCCCGCAAAATGCCTGTCACTAAGCCCAGACCCGAACCCTACACCCCGTAGAGCCTATAAACACAAAAAAACCTGCAAAAACTATAAACTCTAAAACCTGTGAACCCTACATACCCTATAAACCCCAAAACCCCAAACCCTAAACTCTGCACCCCGAAACCTACACCCAAAACAAACCTAAACCCAAACCCTAAACCCTAAGCCCTAAACCCTAAACCCCAAACCCCAAACCCCCTCAACCCCAAACCTCCGGCTTGGCTGGGCGCGGGGCCACGGGGCCCAACTCCACGAAGCGGCTTCGCAGGTCGCCGTGTTGATACTCAGGATCCTGTCAGCACCCCCTTTGGGAGGGGGGGGGGGGGGTTTAGGGTTTAGGGCTTAGGGTTTAGGGTTTAGGGTTTAGGGTTTAGGGTTTAGGGCTTAGGGCTTTTTCAGGCTTCAGGGCTTAGGGCTTAAGACCCTAAAACCCCAAACCCCCATCCATCCCCATGAATTAGGGCTTGCGATCATCCCTATTTCCCAAAAAAACCCTAAGCCCTTAACCCAAAATCCCCATAAGGCTTGAGATGGCCCAAGAGCATCCCTGCAACCCCTAATCCCTATAAACAGGGTTTAGGGTTTGGGGTTTAGGGTTTAGGGTTTAGGGTCCTAAGCCCTATAAGCCCACGTCCTCCTGTGGATAGGCAGCCACCAAGGAGGGGTCGGCAAGACACGCGGCGCGGGCATCCGACCAGGGGACGAAGCCGCACCTGCGAGTTCTCATCGCAGAAGGAGTCTCAGCTGTTAGGGCGTTTAGGGCTTTTAGGGCGTTTTAGGGTTTAGGGTTGTTCGGGGTTTTCAGGGTTTCTAGGTCTTTTTTGCGCCATTGAGGGTTCTTAGGGTGTTTAGTAGGATTGATAGGCCTACTTATCTAAGTCCCAGAGTAGCCTATCGCAATGACAAGGGCACCCTCTGTGCCTTGAAACGAACCGAACCACCTAACAAAGAAATAAGGCTTTTAGGGGCGTACCCCTATTCTAGGGTTTAGGGTTCAGGGTTTGGGGTTTAGGGTTTAGGGTTTGGGGTTTAGGGTTTAGGGTCTAGGGTTTGGAGTTTAGGGTTTGAGGATTAAGACCCCTAAGGTTGTACGCCCAAAGGTATCCTTAAACATACTCACAATGCCTTAAGTGTCTTTAGACAGGGTCCCCATACCCAAGGGTACCACCTTAGGCGTCCAAGGTCGAATCCCATGATAAGGGCCTTCGGGGTTTAGGATTGAGGGTTCAGGGTCTGGGGATTCATGCCTGTTTCCCGTCTTCCAAAGTTGCTCCTTCTTCTCATGGCAGCGCAGGAACCGGAAAACCCGCAACCCGACACCCGAAATGTAAGCGGAATCCAGAAATTAAGAGCAGCCTTGTAGCCTAAGATGAGGGATGAGAGGCTCTGGGGGTAGCCTTTCAAGTGTTTGGGGCTTACGGCCCTGGTCGGGCCGAAGACCTTTTTCAGCTGACCTTCCGCAAGGTCAAAGGTACCATTTGTTGCCCCTTATACGAACGAGTCCCTTAATAGGGATGATAACAGGGGGTACTAGAATCCCGATTTTAAGGACTGTTAGTATCAGGGGGAACTTATAGGAACAGTCCCGAATAGGGATGATAACAGGGGGTACTAGAATCCCGATTAAGGACTGTTAGTATCAGGGGGACATCCCGAGGTACCATGGTCTGCATCCAATTGCCATGGGCTTGTTGGCGGCCCCATAGACCCAAGAAACATTGCAAGCCCTGCAAACCCTATGAAGCCCAGAAGCCCCCATACATCCTACCAAGACTTTTGAACCCTAAGAACCCTCTAACTCTATAAACCCTATACCCTGCAAACCCTAGAAACTCTTTCGCCCTTCAAGCCCTTTCAATCCGCGAAAAAGCCTTAAATCCTATAAACCCTGTAGACTTTATAGACCCTGCACACCCTGCACCTGACTTCCCCCCCAGGTCCCCAGCATAGGAGGTTCAAGAACTCCTCGATTTCGGATACCCTAAGCCCTAAACCCTAAACCCTAAACCCTAAACAAACCTTCGAGGCTGCGAAGTTCCGAAAACCAACCTCCTGATGCCCAAAAACCCAAAACCCTCAAGCCCCAAAACCTCCCTCAAACTCTACAAAACGCCAGGGTTTGGGGCACTTACAAACCCCAAACCCCTAACGCCAAAACCTTAAACCCTAGAAGCTCTAAGCCCTAAACCCTGTGAAAAAAACCCTAAACCCTAAACCCTAAACCCTAAACCCTAAAGATCCCTAAAGCCTGTAAGGGCTTTGGTTCTGGGCGCCGGCCTGATGTCTCCCAGCCAAAGGACGAACCTGGGGGGCTCTGCGTCACGTTTGGGGTTTAGGGTTTAGGGTTTAGGGTTTAGGGTTAAGGGTTAAGGGTTTAGGGCTCAGGGTTTAGGGTTGGGAGTGTAGGCTTGTGGCAGTGTCAGGCTGAGTTTTACTATGGTTTCACTACCCCAGAAGGTAAGCCCCTGCGGTCCCAAGACAGTTCCAAGCTCCACAAAAACAGCCTGGTCTCAGCACCTCGTACCAGAGCTCGAGTGCAAACACCCTTGGAGCTGCCATGTCTTGGAAATTGCTCCAAGGGTGTAGGGTTTTGGGCCCCTAAACCCGAAACCCTAAACCTTTAACTGGAAATCCCAAGCTTGTTCTCCGACCACCTTAAGGAACTTAGGTGTATGATCCTTATAAGTACATTCCTGTTTGAAACAAAAGCTGTCAGGTCAGGCTTAAACTCGAACACACCAATACGCCCGGATTGGGTTTGATTGTAAACCGCATTTAAACACCGAATGTGAAAAACAAAACATGCGATAACACCCTGAGACCGAAAACAAGCACAATTTTTGAACCCGTTCCTGCTCCCTTTCATGCCGAACTAAAACCCTTTTGTAAGCAAAATCGCGCTGACTCAAATCAAATCATAAAGTCGCGAAGCCTGAGCCAACCCCTAAACGATCTACCCCTAACCTCCTAGACTCGGCAACCCCCTTGATCCCAAATACCGAAGCACAAAAACACCAAACCCTAAAACCCTTAAACCCCCCATACCCAAACTTCACCCCAAAGCCTAAAACCCCCGCACCCTTGGGGCGTTCCCCCTTATCTAACAGTCCTTCATACGGATCATAATAGGGGTACTAGAATCCCTTTAAGCAAGGACTGCTAGCAAAAAGCGGAACATCCAAACCTAAACCCTTAAATGAGTCCAGGGAGCCCTCCAGCCTCCGGCGAGGCCGACGCATCAGCTCTCAACCCTGCTAAGGCAGCCAGGGCCACGCCGGCCGTGCGCGCGAGGCCTGCGGCTGTGGAGGGTTCGAGTTTCTTTGGGTTTAGGGTTTAGGGTTTAGGATTCAGGGTTTAGGGTTTTGGGGTGTGCCTGGAACTCTGTTTGCCGACAGTCGACTGGGCTCTACCTACTAAGCTAAGGGGTAGTTTGTACTAAACTGTAAGTGAATAGTCTAGGTAGGGTTTAGGGCTCCTGGTTTTTGTGCTCTTTGTGTTAGGGTTGATGTGGCTTATAGGGTTGAAAGGTCTATCTAGGGTTTAGAGAGCCCAGGGTTTAGGTGTGGGGGTGCAGTTTATCCTCTCTATTTGGGAGTTGCGTGAAAGGCTTCAAGGCTATCTTCTATCGCTAGGGAAAGCATTCCTTATCTCATGGGCTTGTAGAATTTGTAAACTACTGAATCGTAGGGGCTGTTGCTGCTGCTTCTTCAGTGCCTTGCTTTGCAGCTTCGGGCATGGACCTTTGGGCGGCGGATTTCAAAGTTTTACGTTTGGCTCCAAAGCCCGGTTGCGCAGTGCAGCTTTTGCTGTCATCTAGGGCAACAAGGTACAACACAGGTGCCGAGACAGTTAGCACAGAAATACCAACATGCAGCCCTTTATTGTTCATCCAAATATCGATCTACTTTTAGTATGTAAAGCTGCCGAACATAGCATTCCTGTTCTGTGAGCGCTGTAGCCAACCGGGCTATCATCTTTTCGGATGCGTTAGGCTTCCAGCAGTTCCATATGGTGACAAAAAACTCATAACTTGGGAGGTTCCCTTTCATACTAACAGTCCTTAATAGGGATTGTAGTGCCCCCGAATATAATCCCCATTAATTAAGGACGGTTAGAATAAGGGGGAACATCCCAACCCAAACCCGAAACCTCCCGCAGCCACCTTTCTGTCCCCAACTCGCCTGGCGCTGCCAGGCGGGGATTCCGCGCGGCCAAGCGCAGAAGTTGGCTCACAGACGCGTCGCCGGGCACAGGAACCTAGTGCATGGAGGAAAAGGTTAACCATAGTCTTAGTACCCCAAGAAGAATTTTCAAAAACACTAGCTGTCCCGCAGCCGTGAGATGTTCATGGGCCGAAGAGAAGGGGGTTCGCCTTAGGAGGCTTAGGAAGCCTTCGGGCATCGCTTATCACCCTACGAAGTAGTTTGGGCGCACCCTTATAACCCTTATGACACGATTAACTATAGGAATGATGTCGTCGGCGACGCCATGCAGCTACAGCCGATCGCCCCAACACGCGCACGCATTTTGCATTGGAGACAGCAACAATGTACAGCAGCACTGCGGTCTTTATATAGGGTTGAGGGTTTGGGGTTTAGGGTTTGGGGTATTGTTGTAG